TCATATCCACCCACGACGTAACAGTCACCGTGAGGTCTTTTTATTTCTGCCTCTGGCACGTACTGTTAAATATCGTCGGTTCTTTTCTGTAAATGCGATTGCTATTTGGAATAAACTACCCATGAGTGTGAAAACTCTGCAAAATTATCCTTTATTTAAGAGAACTATTACTCGATTTTTGCATTCAGAAAAGCTTCCACAAATTTTGGGTGCTGAAAACTCTGATTGACTGTACCGTAGCGATGGCGTTTGTGGTCTCTGAACACTATGGCCGGTCTCACCAGCTGTTCCTCAACGCCTCTACTTTGGCTACCCCCAACTTCATGAAAGGAATTGACGTCCGATAATCTCCGATACCGTGCAACCACCTCCCCCCTTCTTGACGGTCGAAAATCTACCGCCAGCAGTTTTTTCTCTCCTGAACCCTCCAAACCATAAAAACCACCATCAACTATATTTTTATTTTTCAGGAGTTTTTTTTTCACTGCTGGTCGGATTTGTGTTTAATCGCTTCCCTTGACAATGCCTGTAAACTGGCATTTAATAAATTAAATTAAATTAAATATGAATACTGACTCGATTAAACTTTTATTTTCCTCATCCTTCCCGGACAACTTTCTCTATGACACTGAGAAAGGGTCACCGGCAATTTAGGACGCCGCCATTACCTTTCCGTATCTGCTCACATTTCCTTCCTTTGTACCTCCCTTCCCCACTCCTCGGCTGGGCTGGAAGCGTACTGTGGTCGATCGCGTCTGGCGTCCTCTCGTTTGGCCTCTTTGACGCGAATAGTCCCATCTGGCATATCAATCCTGCCCTGACGATGTCGGTTCTAGATCGCGTATACAATACTACATGCATGCCAGTCCTGTCCGACCAGCATACGTACCCCTGAAGGCTGACATTTATTTCTGACCAGAAAATGTCCAATTTTAATCAAGACTGACATTTATTTCTGCCATGACGATGTCCGATTATAATCCATTATATACCGCCACATGCAGGCCAGTTCTGCACGCATTTTTCCGTTATTATTTTTTTTATCGAGGGTTTTTTCTACTGTGAGATTAATCCAATCATTTTTCAATTTTCATGTGGAGTTTTTTTCACCCCTCGTTAATCATTTTTCTTAACGGACTACTAATTTAAAAATTATGAATTGCACTTTGTACAGATTTTGCCTACCTCATTTAAATTCGCATATACATGTATTTTTACTTTCTTTGATGGGACCCCTAAGGGTCTTTTATAAAAATTATTATTATTAATATGTTCATAACTCATGTCCGATTTCGAAACACGTTGGCACAGTGAACAAATGGACCGTAGAATCTAAGACTTCAGCCCGTTGCTGAATTCGTATCCTCAAATATTTGGCCGACATCGTTATATATCCTCCGTTTATTTTGCGCATCGTTCCTGCTCCATTTTATAACTGGATTTTGGTAATGCATTGTCGCTAGAAGTATCTTGATTTGTTTTTTGATTAATACATTTCCTTTTCTGTTTCTAAGTTGTTATGTCAATGGTCATGCAATCATGTTTCCTTCAGTTTCTCGTGGGAATATTTTATGTTCTTGTGGCGTATTGTTCTACTTGTCCACCAATAGCATGTTTGCATAGACTTTCAAACGGCCTTGTATATTATGCCACACTATATATTTTTGAACAAATAGAAACACTGGCGACCACAGCCAACTTCCTCAGATGGATCGAGAACTTACCTGTGGTTCGGCGTCAGGTTGTTCTAATCAGCCAAGGGTATGTGCGGCTTTCTATCGTAAAGGTGCGAGTTCTCTGGGGCTCAGTACTGGGGCCTATTTTCGCTGATAATCGCGGACGATTGGGCATAACATTTAGCCTACAAAACAGCAATGTTTGCTAACGAGATAAAAGTTGGAATGCAATCCGAAGCACCTCATTTTAAAATGTACTGCGGATCAACCAAAATTGGCTGGTTCAGTAGTCAAATCCTTGGCTTCTGCGGTTCAGTGTCGGCAGCCAAACCAAATTCATTCCCAGTACAGCCTCGCAACATATATAGTTGTCGAAAAAATCTCCCTGTCTCCATCGTCTCACTGCGCCAAGTTACCAAAGAAAGCTATGGGTATCCTAGGCGTGATTAGAAGATCCTTCGTCAGTTTTGATAAAGTACTTTTCGGCCGAGTATTTGGAGCACTCGTTCGACCAATGTTGGAATATTGTTTCCAGGCATGGTGTCCCTGGACGAAAAATGATTACACCCTACAGGAGAAAGTTCAACGAAGAGCGACCAAACTAGTCGGCGGATTAAGTAGCTTACCTTATGAGAGATGGCTGGAGAAGCTAACAATATTTCCTCTCTCTTAAAGGCAGTACAGAGTCTCAATCTCTCGGCGGAGCACTGTGCCTTGATAGTCTCCAAAGCACGTAGAACCACCGGGTTTATCCTCCGAAATTTTAAAACAAGGGGCATTAGAATGCGCCTTTTCAACATGTACGTTAGACCTGGTCTGGAATACTGTTCGTTTTCATTTAGCCTCATGCGTGCTACTGAGCGGAAGAAAAGAGAATCCGTTCAACACTTTTTTACCAAGATAATTTTAACCCCGGAACACCGACATTTGTCTTACCAAGAACGTTGCCGGCTTACAGGCCTCGATCCTTTATGGTTCCGTAGATTACAAAAGGGACTATTTTTGCTATTTAAACTCTTATATAATCACACATTTAACCCACTCACCTCTTTAAGACATCATATCCACCCACGACGTAACAGTCACCGTGAGGTCTTTTTATTTCTGCCTCTGGCACGTACTGTTAAATATCGTCGGTTCTTTTCTGTAAATGCGATTGCTATTTGGAATAAACTACCCATGAGTGTGAAAACTCTGCAAAATTATCCTTTATTTAAGAGAACTATTACTCGATTTTTGCATTCAGAAAAGCTTCCACAAATTTTGGGTGCTGAAAACTCTGATTGACTGTACCGTAGCGATGGCGTTTGTGGTCTCTGAACACTATGGCCGGTCTCACCAGCTGTTCCTCAACGCCTCTACTTTGGCTATCCCCAACTTCATGAAAGGAATTGACGTCCGATAATCTCCGATACCGTGCAACCCCCTCCCCCCTTCTTGACTGTCGAAAATCTACCGCCAGCAGTTTTTTCTCTCCTGAACCCTCCAAACCATAAAAACCACCATCAACTATATTTTTATTTTTCAGGAGTTTTTTTTCACTGCTGGTCGGATTTGTGTTTAATCGCTTCCCTTGATAATGCCTGTAAACTTTCAGTAAATAAAAGAATTATATTATCATGGCCTTCCGGATCGTCCGAGGTCTAGTCTGTGCTCTTCCGGTTGACGATTTCTTCGAACAGCCGCGGACGACAAATATTCAAGTCCACCAATACAAATTGAAGACGAAATATGCCAAACTCGAGTTGAGGGCCAAATTCTTCTCCCACCGGTTGGTTGACGGATGGAACAAATTGCCGAACTCCGTTGTCTTAGCGGAAGACGTCGAAACTTTCAAAAGAAGGCTATATAAATTTATGCTTGATGGTCAGACATTTACATGATATTAATGACTGGCATAACTGGTATGTAAATATCTGCATGTTTTTTCATACGTCTAACTGTAAATAGGGTCTTCCAAGGCTTTCCCTTTATCCCTAATATTTACTGAATTATAAGAGATCCTTAAAATCTTTTGCTCATTGTTGTAGGGCGACAAAAGAGCATAGTGTTCGTCTTGCATGAAACAAAGAGATCATTAATGGATTTTGATGGAAACACCTGTTCCAAGGCTTCCGGAACATAATTGTATACACAACAATCGAAAATTCTAGTTTATGTGCGGGGTGTTGCGCTTAACATACAAATTGTGACGTAGAAAGGAATGGAAAAAAAGAGAGAAGTGAATTGTTGTGCGGACCCGCGAGACGTAAAGCCTTCTCCCGTACCACGTTGTTACAGAAAGTGAGGGTCCTTTTGAATAATTTGCAAAAGTTTTGAGTTGGCCCTTGTTAATAGCGCATGTCGCCGGAATAATCCGCTCCCGGCAAGGCGTGACTAAGAAATACTCGTCAGATGTTTATCAAGCTTCACCTAAAATGCTTCAGGTACATAGAAGCGGTTTATGACCCACTGGTATCAAACGGCCGCTATGTCAGAACACGCGTTATCGCAAGTCCAAATCGGTGTTTGTGTAGAGTTTAGAATGTTTAAACAAAGGTTGAGATAAGTCCACGTGTACAAGGAAATGTGAAAAGGAAAAATGGAAATCCACATACATGATGCCGCCTGTTAAGTACACTACACATGTATGGAGATCGTGAACAATCTAGTGTCAATTTAGTCCGAAAGATTACAAAGATCGTTAACCTCAATCATTAGGGGGTCGAAGCTGATTTCTTTATACAACCTTACCAAACACTCCGATGTTAACATTGAGTTGAATGTAAACTCGCGAAGATAATCGACAAACATTCTACATCATGTACAGGTTGGATTTTAGTCTGACCTTTGACGTTACAAGGAGAGTTTTCTATAGCTGATCCCCAGTTTCCCTCAGTAAACTGAACTGAACTCGAAACCAACGGAACCAGTCAAATGTTCAACATAAATTTAATGACCATGGGCATTCTCAGAGATAGTACAATGTTGGTAAGAGCCAATTCGTCTGCCTGTCTGATCCTGAAGCAATTTGGATAGTTAAGAAGCTGAAATTTAACTGAGGTTTCATTTTGTTTATCCTTTGCACATAATATTTACATATCTTTCGCCGCCCACTTCAGACTTATATAACCTAAAGATATGGTGGGAATCGGGGATTTCGTCTCAGACGATGAAAATCGTCTAATTTTCCTGATTCAGCTATCTTTTTCAGTGCTTGCAGTAGTGACCAATTTTGTCGCCTTTGTTAGCCCATACTGGATTGAGTCCAAGTCCGGGGCACATGCACTTTTCAATCGTATTGGTTTGTGGACCGTTTGTTTCGATGGTTACATGCGGCCGAATATGTACGATAAGGCGTATTATGGATGCTTTTACATTTATTACGTCGAATATGATGCCATCCGCGAATGGCTAAATCCCTGTATGTAGGAAATGTTCTATCTTACTATTGAGGGTGGATTTACTGTGTCCAGGTCATTTCTTCTCTTGGACTTATAACCCACGCTATCGTGCTGTTCTTTGTCCTCTGTCAAGCATTGGGAAGAATCAAGATCGAATCACGAGAAACGACTAAGTGGCTTATGGCCGGCCACTTTGTAGCAGGTAATTATATAATTACATGTATACATGTGTTAACGTTTTTGCCTTTTCTCTGTTATTAATATTATGTGCTCTGATGGACCGCTTACGCTTCTTTTCTGGTGATGCCTAGAAATGATCAACAACCTCCATCGTCTTCCTTAATATAATTTTGTCATTCGAGCCAGAAATGCGGCCAACAAAGCCGTCTTGCACGTGTGAGGTTTAGGAAGAAACACTTGTAGGCTGTCTGAAATTTACTAGCAGGTAGCAGTCGCATAAGACAACGGAAGTCTTTCTCGGTATTTTTGGCAAAAGCACCGAAATAGGACCTGCTATAGGCAAGTTGAAACCTTGGCGCACAATTGAAAAGCTAACTGTGTGCTGTATTCCAAAACCCACAGAACATTTAGCTCACAAGACGGGCACCTTCGGGCCGAATATGGAGTCTGAGTCGCGGCCATTATTGAGGACTAGAAATTTGTCTAATTTCTTACCACATCTGACTGATCAGTTGAGGAAAAACTCGACTGCATTTTTATGTTCAATAGAGAATTTCGTTGGACTCAGCGGATGGAGCCTACCATTTGTAACATTCTTCTACATTTTGATGATTTGGATTGGAATATATAGGACCGTTGAGACAGAGTTTTTGCTCCTCTGCTATGAGGCAGATACTAGAGCGAGTGGTCTTCTCCATCATCCCACTGAAGATTTTGATCTAATTTGTGGTTCAACATCTAGCCCTTTCATATGGAGTTTTGCCGTCACAGATTAATCATTTCTTTTCTAAAGGCTTTTAAGATAACCTGTACAGTTGCCTTGACTCTCTGGTTTATCAGTAGTCCTTTTAGACATTTTCATTATGGTTGGGTTTTTTGACTATAATTCATTGAAAAATCAACAATGATCCTAACTGAAAGAGCTTGTTCGTCTAAGGAAGTTACTTAATGATGACGGAGGACTATGGCCATGGCCTTTCAAATAACGTTTGGGAAATTATTTAAGATTAATTTGTAGTGGCCGACTCGAAGTCTCTCTGGGGTTGAGCTGGACCGAATCTAGCTGAGACGAAGACCTTAAAGGTAGCCAGGTGGTGAGAACTCAGTTCTGAGCCTTTCCTTAATCTAAGCACAACAAGGTGCAGGGAGCCTCTGTTGGTAAGGTAATCGAGTTTTGCCCTGGAATACTGCAGCAAATTGTCAAAAAGAAATGTGATAGGCATAGTCTCAGTTTTGAAGAACCTCTGTATGTTTGTTAATCCTGCCATGCTTGTTTACTTATAACTAGGGTATATTCGAGGCTCGGTTGCTAGGCTTCACACTGTTTTACGTTACCCTGTCGGAAGAGGATCTTAGAAAATAATCGGTGTATTTCGCCAAGTAAACGAAAGTATTATCAAGTGTGTGTTTTTTATGAGCAAAAACTTGCAACTGTACGGTTTATTTGATGAGGTGTTTTAAATTCCATGTAGATTGTATATCTAAATTACTTGTCACATTAAGATGGTTGGAAAGATGGGGTTGCCCATAGGTTATATTTGCAGTCAAAGACGATGACTTATATGACCCATATGAGCGGCAGTACATGGGATACAAAAAAATACTTCTACTGGATAGACTACAAACCAGTATGCCGTACGGGCGGAAACAAGGACTTGTCGAGACATCTGGATAAAACTGTGGATTAGCTTTATGACTTAAGCGAAGTGCGATGCGTCTGGTCCCAGAGTATAGTATTAAATTATGTTATACCCAAAGCACGATGCCTTTTGTGTGATAATATGTCCGCCATAATTTTCCGGTCCCTACGACGAAAAAATGGCGTTAAACATATATCTTCCATTATTCCGAAGTTCGTTTCTGTAGCGAACCATGCTCGTTTGTAAGTTCGAAAATACGGAATGGTTTTTGCTTTAAGCGACCACAACATATCCCGTTATTTCCAGAAGCGGACTGTCTTTGAAAATCGTTGAGATTTCCATACATCATTAACTGAATACCTGTCCAGATCTAAGTTACTGTCAATACAAAGAGCGGACTTAACATTAGAACAACATGCATACTACTCGCACCGGCTTTAAGAAAACCACTGATTAAACATATAATATTGAAGTCAGTATACTAGGTTTTTAAATTCTATCTTGCACAAATTTAGTCAACTTCGCGATGACCCAGTCTAGGCATTACGTAAAAAAGAGAGAGAGGTCAACTCTGCGGGCTCCATCCCCATGGAACTCCGGTGCCTATCCTCACCACAAACAATCTGATGAGATTTTAAACTATCATACGTGCTAAAACTCGCGACTTGGAAGGCTTCTAGCTGGCGAGGTAATTCGGTCCTTCTTTCCAGAAGCAAAGTCTGGCTGCACTAGGTCCCTGATGTTGTCCACTATGGCAACCCCACTCGGTTAGGATCCGGACCGACCATTTCCTGTTTCAGTTTTGACCTTGTCTTACCTATTTAAATTTAAAGTCATACCACCCAACACGCTTTAGCTGTTATTGATTTCATTGGAAAGCTTTTAAGTCGAAGAGGCGCTTATAGACCAAATTACTTGAGGTTCCTAGGCCACCTCGAATTAAGCTGGGGTCCTCCCTTACGTCATAGCGATCACTCGGTTATGCAGTGACGAGCACGACACCACATGCGGTTGCTTCCATAATCGCCCACCTAGAATAAATTTGAGAAAACCTATTATCATGCAGCTGAAATGGCTTCAAGGCCAGGGGACGCCTCGTTTCAGAGTTCAGCGTTAACACCACGCACCGGTCGTGTGGGTCAAGGTGTAGGTGGGCAATATATTGTCATTTGTCGACTTTTGAGGGCACGTAGACCGAGTTCATGAATACGTCAGCAGAAATTGGCAATGAGGAGTGGTGATCTGTCATCCTTCCCCCTATTTATACCCTGAGAGCCTTTCGTAATGCGCTTTTACTAACATTAAGATGGTGACGCAGATGGGTGGAGAGTCGTTTGAAGCCTGAATTTCTGACAAGAACTACAACAAGTGACATATGGGTATGTCTCTCGCCTGTCACGTGTGACGTTCATATGGCCAGCCAACCTCTGGCCAAGGACGCGCGGACACCGCACCATGAGACGGTAGATAGCCTGACGCAGAGTTCAGCCAAGGACATACGCGGTCAGCCATTGAAGATGGGCTCCTGTGAGGCACGTAAGGCTCAGACCAGTTCACCAGCTGCTCTGCAGATTGACTTTCCCCATTCGTTTTGTCGAAAATTCGTCACGAGACCCGCTCTTCTAGTAGTGCTTTGACACCCAATATAAACTCCTCATAACCAGTTGATTAGTAGCCCACATTTTTGCCGCACATTAGTCTCGAACCCGCTTTCTTTAAACATCGAGTGCTATTAAGTCCGACGCTCAACTAAGTGGGACAAGGACTAGTTTTCCTGACGTTGGATTTGGGTAAGGCTGGCTAACGACGGCTAATAAGCCACTCCAGTCTCCTTTCTCTTTATCAGCGATTGTTTGCAAAGGCTCAGGACAAAACGGAACGAGCAGATCCCTTGTCCCAATTGGAGGACACACGTCAACCACAACGACGGTTTGACTGTCGTGACCGCTGACATCGGCCGTGTGCTTCACAACAGGGTGAAAGTAGGGACGATAGCTTACAGTGATAGTAGACTTGGGCAGCATCTACCACAGTCCCTCCTCCCTCCCACCTGATCCTGGTTTCATGACAGTCAATAAGACCGAAGGCGGAGGAGGCCACAGGTGGCTGACACGGCAGAAGCCCGCACATAGGCATACCACCACACCCCCTGATCCACAAAGTATCCTGCTCAGGATTTCACACAGGAAACGCGGAGGGGTCGACTCCGATCCCAACCAAGTAGGAGTCCCATAAAGGCCACATAAAGCAGGAGGCACGAAAGCCCGACTCTCCGTTCTCCGAGGAGAACCGAGTTATCCCGTTGTTTGATAGCCCTCTAAGCCGCGACTTTTGACATACCTTGGCACATTCAAGCGCGTCGGATTGTTTGTAGCAAGGAGTATGCGGGCACCAGTCCACCGTCAGAAGAGGTCAAATGTCTAATGGAGGAAATGGGCGCAGTGGCTGATAGAGATAGAGAGACCATGGAAGTTCTGACTTGTCAAACACACACTCAAGTAGAAAATCGGCTCGGATATCACATGTGTGATGGAGTGCCATTTAGAAGCAGCCAGTCACTTTACTCACAAACTCACAACTGCGCCGACTGCGTGGTCTGAGTTGAACCGTCAGTTAGCAGGCTTCCAAGCCACGGCTTTCAGCACACCGTGATCGTCTCAAGTGCGTTGGATGGTTTATAGTGAGGAATTGTGCGGAGAGAATCGACCTCACTTTGCCTTGTCCCGTGCACCAGTCGACTCTCCGAGCCGGCCAACCATCTGGCGCTGAGATTGGGAGGAGTGGCTGACAGTGCAGAGTACGGCCCGTCTACGCACGCCAAACACACGATGCGGCCTCCATGCATACACGCCAGGATTTCGCACAAGGGGTAGACTGCTCAAATCTCGAACATAGCAGAGGATTCGCATGAACAAGGAGCCGAAGAGCGCAGTCATCACTTACATGAGGGACGCCTGCGTTGCGTGTTATTGGAGGTGTTTATGGGTGGTGGATGTGCTGATGGGGAATTGTGGTTATGTGGTCTGGTCTGCGATGATTTACCGTGTATTTTCTTGGAGGCGTATGTGACGGGGTAGGCCCATGCGATAACTGAATGTGGGAGTACATCGTGGGCAGTTGGGGTGATGGCGAAGAGTTACGTTGGTGTTTCAGCACTGATTTATCATCCTCTGTGTGACGGATTCGCAAGTGGTCGACAAGGCCGATGCGCGACATACATGTGCGATGGCAGCGTGAGCAGGATAGGATGGGGGACGCTTAATCGGTTCGAGTTACTATGCTGCCAGTGGTGTCCGCGCTGGTGGATGGGGACCCGGTAGGGCTGAGCGTGGGAAAGTTTTCGGTCGTCGAGATATAGGTCAGTATATTTTAAGAGTAATAGGCAATGCTTTTGAAAACCCTATTGTAAACGGTACATGCAATATCTCACTATAAATAAACATGGTACTGAAATGTTGTCAGTAATATACACGTTTAACAGAATATTTTCCGTAAAAATGTAGAACCAAAACTTGAGAACATTCAGTTGTAGATGATTTCAGTAAAATGTAATGACAGTCATCCGCATTAGCGGTATGAGTATGCAAGGCGTTGGTTTAGCACCACAGAGCTGTTCTGTATGGCGCAGTCCACTGTCGTTGATACGCATGTGATTATGCGGTGAGCGAACCTGCGTGGACAGTGCTGACAGTGGGGTTGGATGTGGCGAGTGTATGTGGGGACTCCTGGCATTAGTGTGTCGGTCGCAGCGTGCGTGAGGTATATACAGTAGGTCTGCTAACTCATGAAAAGTCAACCAAAATTCTAAAGTGTGTTTTCGACTCGAAAAGATTACTTAAGTAAGGTTTTAAAATTAATGATATTTCGGTATAATTCTGTAGTAAGGCAGTTGCCCCGGGATGCCGCCTTTCGAACGAACTTCTTTCCGGCCGCATGCAAAATCCACACTCTACGAAAAATGACTACTCAATTAGCATGAATTTTTCTCGTAAATGTTCGATGCCCTTAAGAATTCGATCATATTTCATGTAAAACATGCATAGAAATATTCGTTCTTTTACTCATTCGGTAGAATATTACGTCTTCTAACAAGGTAGCTGAATTATTATAGAATTATGCTGCATGATGATTAGTTCTAAAACACTACTTAAGTAATCTTTTCTAAACGAAAACGCATTTCAGTATTTCGATCAACTTTTCATGAGTTAGCACACTGACTGTATGTGATCGCAATGAGGACAGTTTAGGACAGAGTCCACATCGTTGGTGCTGGGGGCGATCATAATAAGGGTATTGGTTGGCGAGGCGTCGGGAGTGTTCTCACCGCCAAGTCTTGTCTTTGCCGTCGTGTTTTCGAATCTCACTGAGACCGCTAAGTTTTTCACAATCGGCTCAAATGGATTCTCGACTTGTCATGCTTCCGGCGTGGGCGATTATCATGACGGCCACAAAGCTGAGTTCATGGCGCGTTTCGCAGGAGTGGGCAGCCATTTACGATAACTCATCTCTCTGTTGCACTGCCAGTTCATGCTCGTGTATGCGTGATCGGAGTGTGTGTGCTCATCTGACCTGTGTAATTAAAATGACTGTTTGTGCACGAGATGCAATACAGTACACCTGACTGTTTCTTGTGATTTAATCGCTCTTGGATTTTCATGATCTTGCTGCGAATGCAGGCTTTGTTCCGGTATGCAATTTTGGCGCCTAGTCTCGCAGCAATGTCCCGATTGTTTCTGAGACGGCCTTACTGTATGACAGAGCATGCCATATCCTCAGTGGTTTTTCCGTTTGGCGTCTCCGAGGGCGAACGCGTAGGCATCGGCTTACAGACGCCTTCAGATAGCCATTCCGCATAAGGTGGTCACGGTGACATCGGGCCATTTCCTCCGGTTTGCCGCAGCGAGTCTGGATCTGTCTGCAGTGCGCTGCCGGGCAGCTTTGTTTGTGAGCCACCGGACGGTTAATGCGAACACTGAGATTTCCTGTGGCGTTCACCGTCTTCCTGTAAACCGCCGTCCCAATTTCATCCTTAGGGTTTCGCCTGACGAGCACATCAAGGAAGGATATCTACTGCTCCTGCCCTCTTTCCCTCGTGAATTTTGCATCAGGGAAGACTGGGTTGAGCAGATTGTAGAAATTCTGCAGTATGTTCTTCCTGACAATAGCCGACATAGTAGTGAAAATGCTACCCGTGGCTGACACATCAAAGGGAGAAGGGGCATTCACCGGCAGAGAGAGAGAGAGAGAGAGTTATTTGAGATCTGACGTTTCAAGTAATGATTTCGCCTACCCTTCTTCAGAGACTGGAAGGCCCTGCTTACAGCTCTCATTGCAGGGCACATTTTGCCTGATGCGTGATTCGCTGGACAGCGGTAGGGTGAAGGACGCCAGACATCTGCAATCGGCCACAGGATCCTGTCATGCAGGAAAAGTAGTAATAGGGGTTTTACGGATGGCGCATATTGGCGGCACGGGAACTAATAAAAAGGGAGAAAATACGGAGACATTTGTTTCTGTGCTGTAAAGCTTTTATTACGCTGACACATGGCAACGAAAGGTATGCGCGATAATTAAAAAATAAGCGATCAATAAATTTCAAAGAATTAGGCAATTTTGATAAACCGTTCCCGGATAGTTTGTAGCAGGTCAGGCACCCAAGGAAATCTCAATCAGTGAGAACGAGGAAAAGGATATGAGAGGGCCAACCGTGCTGAAATTTAGTGTTTGATTTTCCTATGTCCGTGAATGGTAGATCAACGAAGTCTGACCAATCAAGTGAAATTCAAAAAAGTGAGCGATAAGCAAGCCCGTTATTTTCAGTTTAGGATAACTGTACGGATTTAAGAAGTTTTAGGCAGTTGGCCTAACGCTACTTAAGATGGGGGGTTTGTATTTAGTAGTGAAGTGGGTTTCTAATGAAGTATTTCCCCCAAAAGTACAGGCTCCTGTTATACGGGAAACAAACAAAAGCGTAAGGGAGAATCCCAACGCAAACTCAATGTGTAGAGCAGTAAAGAACAACCCACTGCCTACTCAAACAAGTGGAGTAGGCAGTTCTGTGCGTAAAAGATGCTTGGGATCCTCCCCCCCCACCGCTACCATTCGTTGAATCGGACCATCGCTCCACCGTGATCTCTGTTGTCCCCACTCCCGTTAAACGTAACGATGGTTAGCTGCAGGTAGCTTGGGCGCACTGACCGGTTGGTATTTCGTGACGAAAATTCCGGGATATCTGTTGTGCTCTAAAGAGCCTTCAGCAATATCCCAATTCGATCTTTTCTGTCGTCCGACTCGCCGCATTGCGGTAGACCGTTCTTATGTGACCCCAGTCGTGTAAACTTGGATGTCTGTCACGGAAGCTTGGTGCACAATCAGAATTCATCGTTCTCTGAGTGGTTGTCTTCGTTCATCGATAAGTCTTTCTGCAGACTAGCATGTGTAAGATCGGCAAATGGCCATTCTTTTTTCATTCATCTTCGATTGGAGTTAAGTCTCCGCCACTTGCCGCTTGCTAATGGCAGAATTTATTGTCAATACACTGGATACTTAATTCTGGTCGATTACTGTTGAAAGCCAGTGCCTTTAATCGTTTCAGTACCACTTCGTCATTGAGCCTGGATTACGGCTGTCCCAGTAGCGTGCCTTCCACTTTCTCACACACAAATCAATCCAAAGTGAAGAAAGTCCGTAAACCACGTTTTAGTATACTGATATTTCAGGCATATTTATCATATTTTTGTTGGAGAGTTTGCAAAAAACATCGTCAACTACCTTTGCATTCAACGAACCAAGTTTCTATAAATTGAGGTTTTATAATGATAATGCAGTAGGTGGGCTAACTCATGAAATGCCAACAGAACTTACGAAATGTGTTCCCGTCTCGAAAAGATTAATTAAGTAGGGTTGCAAAACCAGTCATCATGCATCATAATTCTATAATAATTCGGTCACCTCAGGATGTCGGCTTTTGAATGAACTTCCAAAAACCGTAGTCCGTAAAAAATGACAACGGAAGGGGCATGCATTTTTTACTGATTTTCAATGCCCTCAAAGATTCAATTATATTTCATGGAAAACATGCATAAAAATATTCATTCTTTTGCTCATTCAGTAGAAAATCACGTCTTATTTCAATTTTATACTTGAAGGAAGTGTTTAATTCGGTTTTAAAAAGTTTCTAATCGTGAGATTCTTTAATACCGTGAAATTTTCGTTTGTAAAACATCGTGGCTCCGTATTTACTAATGTTGTTACTAAAGTTTGCAATATGCCTCAAATCCGCTGCGAAATTTCATGGACCCCATATGGTCTCCTCTTAATAGGGTAGAGAAATGTGTGGTTTCCCGTACGCGGAAATTATACGGCTTTTGATTTGGGAATCCTGAATGAAACTGTAACGGCAGGTCAGGCTCAAAATTATTCGGGAATTGGAAAAGTTTTATAAAAGCGAATTAAACCCTGCCTTTGAGTGTAAAATGGCAAGAAGACGTAATTTCCTACTGAATGAGCAAAAGAATGACTATTTTTATTTATGTTTTCCATGAAATATAATTGAATCTTTAAGGGCATAGAAAATCAGTGAAAAAATTCATGCCACTTACGTAGTCATTTTTTACGGAGTATGGTTTTTGAATGCAGCCAAAAAGAAGTCTGTTCGAAAGCCGGCGTCCTGGGGTAGCTGAATTATTATAGAATTATGCTGCGTGATGATTGGTTTTACAACCCTACTTAATCTTTTCGAAACGGAAACGCATTTCGGAATTTCTGTTGAGATTTCATAGGTTAACCCATTTACTGTAGGTCATTTACCCAGACGTGCATGAATGCTTCCTTCGGTTGTGTCACATAACTTCGAAGCTCAACAGTATTTATTTAACGTAACAATCAACGCAATTCACTCTTGTTATACTGGGCTACCCACAGCGGACTCGTTTGAGCTATGACACCGTTTTTAGGTTATGCCTTCTAATCGTATTTTCTGTTACGCTTTACTTAACAGGGTTTGCAATGGTGCTAACAATTATCGCCTTTACTTTCGGAAGTTTGGACAGTCGGTGGGTACCCTACCCGCGTTTTAACAAACTGTCGTGGGCATATGCGATGGCCCTAATCTCCGTGATGTTCACTATTTCGGCCTTCTTCACATTCCTCGTGTTTTATCTCAAAGTAAATGCAAAGAAGTCTGCAAAGAGTTTACCCCTCGAACCAGACCTTGATGATGCCGATGATGACAATGAAAATGACGAAATTCAAAAGCTTTCACAAAAACAGTACTCTCGAAGTGGGGATACTGCTAGTGTACCGCTTCGACCTCCAGTCAATCCAGACACTGTGGACCCCGATGAAATTCATGAAGACCTGGGCGAGGATCTTGATGCAAATTCTAACTCAGTATATCCTTACTCCCAACACTTCCGTTCGTAACCAATCTAATCGTTTTTACATCCTTTACTGCGCCACTGTACCTATTTTTCTCATGCGATATATTGCACCAACGTTGCGCAACCCTGGGGTAGTTGGAGCTCCCAGCCGCTAATTAGAATGTATGTTCTTTGTTACTTACACTGACAAAGTAGCATTTATTATACAATTAATACTGATCTAAATGGTACGGTGACGACGCCTCTAATGCATATTGCTCCAAAAGTGGGGAATTCTTACGATCATACATGCATCCGCACCGCACAAAATCGAACTGAATAATAAAAGAGTTCCGAAAATTCCCATTGAAAAGTCCAAAAGACAATTTGGCGGGCATTCGCCAGCTTTCGATAAATTTTCTTCAGGCCTGTATTGAAACCGTGAATAAAAAGATGCGGGAGTCGATGTTTATGCTGTAGCCCGAGTTTTTGGAGAAGAAAAGAATGGGACATCAGAATTTCAGTCGGCGTCAGGGCATGGTGGGCACCGTGAAAAACAATTATGTACAGGTGGCTGGCTTGATGGCTTTGGCCCGTGGCAATAAATGTACAGGCCGGAAGATAATTTATTGAAAGCAGGCGTATGCTCGCCAGATTGCCTTTTGAATCATCAAAGCTCCCTTAGTTGGGTGACCGCCGCCTTGCGGATGCGGGGCTGGCAGGGTATCAACCTGATGCCGCAAGTATATCTGGCTAGAAAGGACTTAGCTGGTGACGCAAGGTCTGCGGTAGAAGGAAAGGGTCGAAGGCCTTGAATGACAGATCGAGAAAGATCGCAGTGACCTGCGGCTCGATTAAAATTGCCGCCGCTAGATCAAGCACCCCGTGTTCGAAGCACAAACAGGCAGACAAGATCGGCTGAGGCCACTCCCGTGTGACTTTGGTTAGTTCTAATGTTAACCTATAAGAAGTGAGCCAGTAGCTCTACAAGTAGAGCCTTTGATTCCAGTGCTCATGAATCAACTGATTCGATTTCATGTGCCAGGTCTGTCTACCCTGAGGTTGGAGTACGGCTGGTTGATTACGTCAGGTAAACCAGAAGTAGAATGCTATTATTGACAAAGACAAAGGAGACTGGAATGGCCATTTCTGGCTTATTAGCCGTCGTCAGCCAGTCATGCCCAACCCCGAAGTGTGAAACACCTGGGGCTCGAACTCGCGACTTAATAAGCCAGAAATGGCCATTCCAGTCTCCCTTGTCATTGTCGGTAATTACATTCTGCCTATATCGTGCGCCACTGTGCGGCTGCTTGTTGGGCTCGAGAGAGAGCCCGTAAGGCACAAAGGAACGAGTGAGTTCCCTAAGAACGATCGGTGAGCACCCCTCTGCCACTAAACCAGAAGTGGAATTTCCAGTCTCCGAGGCAGGACGACAATGCTCACTTCCGTACCGCGTCGAGGATAAATCAGTAAGTGTCATTTCCACACGATTCCTTCGAACTCAAAAGGCGAAGCGGTCTGACATTCAAAAAACAAAGCAATTTCCGCTCTTTTAGCAGTTAGGGAGAACTCCGCGTACGCGTTTGCACATGCACAGTGCTGGTTTTCGTTTAAAATTTAAAATATTCATATGATAGCCAGCGTACAAAAGCCTGCACCGAATGAAGGTTTACGAACGCCAGGCAACCAGCTACTTGACTAAGGGACTATATATCCTGTGGAATTTAGGTGGAGTGAGGTGCAAAAAAACAAAAGAAGGCTTCATGACTCAAATCATGGACTGTGAGAAGTGTAAATCGGCTTTCGTGGGCGTCAGTAGTGCAGAACGGAAGAGCAGATGATGGGGGTCCTTCAAGTCCAGCGTAGTTGAAATTGCAGTCTTTGTGTGCATGTCCCAACAATCGGGTTCTTTGACCAGGGTCTCATGCTGTTTTCGGTTTTCCCGTGTGTACGGTTTCCGACTTCTCTGTGAGCACACACCGATCCGACGCGCGACGCTGAAGTGACGGAATTGGACTGGATTTGTCCCAGAGATCGACTGGGCACAGGGTATGACGGTTGCTGAGAATTATGATGATTCTAGCGGGGGTACCGATGGGAGGAAAAGAGGGAATAAGGTCATGATTTTTTAGCGTTAGAGCATACGATACTAGCAGCACACAGGTACTAGCTAAAAGCCCAGGCACGCGAGCCTCGTCGACATTCTGCCGCTGCATGGTACGGCTGCGAGGGGTTC